AGGACTGGGCAAACACTTTATGAATAAGACCCCAAAAGCACAAGCAACAAAAGAAAAAACAAACAAATGGGATTATATTAAACTAAAAAGCTGCATAACAAAGGAAACAATCAATGGAGCAGAAAGACAACCTACAGAATGGGAGAAAATATTTGCAAACTATACATCCAACAAAGGATTAATATCCAGAATACAAAACTCAAACAATTCAATAGAAAAAAAAACAACCCAGTTTAAAACAAGGCAAAGGAGCTAAACAGACATTTCTCAGAAGAAGACATACAAATGGTCAAGAAGTATATGAAAAAATGCTTAACATCACTAATCATCAGGGAAATGCAAATAAAAACCACACTGAGATATCACCTCACCCCAGTTAGATTGGCCATTATTAAAAAGACTAAGAATAACAAATGCTGACAAGGATGTGGAGAAAAGGGAACTCTTCTACACTGCAGGTGGAACTGTAAATTAGTACAGCCATTGTGGAAAACAGTATGGAGGTTTCTCAAACAACTACAGATAGAATCCCACTACTGGATATAAACCCAAAGGAATGGAAATCATCATGTCAAAGAGATAACTGCACTCTCATGTTCATCACGGCTCTATTTACAATAGCCAAGAGTTGGAACCAGCCTAAATGTTTGTCAACAGACAACTGGATAATGAAAATGTGGTGTGTATACACAATGAAGTACTACTCAGCCATAAAAAAGAAGAAAATTCTGCCAATCACAGCAACATGGATGAGCTTGGAGAAAATTATATTAAGTAAAATAAACCAGACACAGAAAGGGAAATACCACATGTCCTCACTCAGAAGGAAGGAAGAAAGGCCACAATAAAAGACTGAACTTTCAAAAGGAGAGAACAAATCTATGATTAGTAGAGGTGAGAAAGGGTGAGAGGGAAGGGAGTTAGGGAGAAATTGGGTAAGAGGCACAAAGAATAATTACGATTTGTAACAATGAATATGCTAATAATATTGATTTGATCATCACATATTGTACACAAATAATGGTAGTCAACACTTGTACGCCAAAAATATATATAATCAATTATGCTTCAATAAAAAAATAGAATACTTGAAAATTCCACTTACTTTGGAAAAATAACTAAAATAAAATAATTTAATGTATAAAAAAAAGAAGAGCCATGGGCCGGCCCGGTGGCGCACTGGATAGTGCACCGCTTGGGAAGCGCGGCAGCAGCGCTCCCGCCCGGGGGTTCGGATCCCACATACAGACCGGTTCCCGCTCGCTGGCTGAGCG